AGCTTCACATAACTATAAAAAGTCGAGCTCATTATTATAAAACTATAAATTTCTTTTTTCAAAAAACCAAAAAAAAAGCATTATATATGGCGTCTTTGTTGATCATGAGCCTATTCATACGGTTAAATTTGACTTTTTTTTATATATTATTTAATTGTTACAAGAAAAAAAGTCAAAAAAAGTCAATTTGAAAAGGCTCAATAGTATGTCGTTTTACTGTACTTTTCATTATAAACTAATCTTTTTTAGATATTATATAAAGTTTGAAATACTATATTTAAGTTAGAAAAGTGTTTCCCAACACAAAACATCAAACGGAGGAATTAAAGACGGTTTACACAATAGCATAATATGGTATATACGAGCAACGAGAAAACCAAGGGGAAACAAAAGATTTCTTTAAACACTTCGAATGTTGCTAAAACATCATTGGCACAATAGAATAATGATCGTCGTTAATTTTCTTCGATAACGATTTCTTACTAATCGACTTTTCTATTTTCTTTTACAATGTAGATTGTAAACATCGTGAAGATTGTTCATTGAACTAGATTAGACTTTTAGCTCTGTTAAGTGACGACTATTACAAGATAAGATATAATACTTAAACTGGACTTTCTACACGTATATTAATAAAATATCAAATATACATAAATTTCTTTAATTAAACATGTGATTTAGTAATAATATAGAATTGTTTAAATTCAACAAAATAATTTCTTTTGTTCAATATGCAAATAACATTACATTTTTGTAACAATTTTGATTTTTGTGAAACCCAATTATTTCATTTTAATAATATCAAATTAATCAGTGTTAATAATTCTTCCTTGCTTTAGCCAACGACGTAAGGTTTCTGACGAGATTCCAAGTTTTTTAGTTGCCTTGTGTGCAGACAAATACATGGAGGAGAGAGTTTGAGTTTACGATTTTGAACGATTTTTGAGTCTTATATGATAACGATATTACAATGAGCAATACTAAGCAATTATTGGGCAACTGTAAGCAAAAATTTGTTAACGGTTTAATTTTTAAGTGCCGTAATGCCAGTCGAGTGAAATTTTATTTGTGGGATGATCATGTGATAATGATAAGATTTTTTAAGCGGTAAGAAATGATTGGCGTTCATAAATTATAAATACAAGTTAAAAAAAAACAAAAAAAAAAAACCAGATCGTTTGTTTTCATGTCTGATCATTCGCCTTTCCAAGGGTCTTACCCTGCAACGAATTACCCTGAACAACAACAACAACAACAACCGTTTGCATATCAATATTATCAATTCAATAATGTTTCAAATCAACAATTTAATGGTTCTAATCAGTTCATGAACATACAGCAGACTGAACCATCAGTCGAGAAACTAGAAGAAAAAGCAAGAAAATGGCAACAAATGCAATCAAAGCGGTATGGAGAAAAGAGGAAGTTTGGTTTTATTGAACACGAAAAAGCTGATATGCCACCAGAACATATCAGAAAGATTATTAAAGATCATGGAGACATGTCGAGTAAGAAATATAGACATGATAAACGAATCTATTTAGGTGCCTTAAAATATGTACCACATGCAGTATTAAAGCTGCTAGAAAATATGCCAATGCCATGGGAACAAGTAAGATAATTTGAGCATTTAATCACTATTTTAATCTTAGATTTCTTAATTCATTCTATCCACTTATAGGTTCGTGAAGTACCCGTTTTATATCATATTACTGGAGCAATCACATTCGTTAATGAAATTCCGTGGGTTATTGAACCTGTGTATATAGCACAATGGGGTACTATGTGGATTATGATGCGTCGCGAAAAACGCGATAGACGACATTTTAAACGTATGCGTTTCCCACCATTTGATGACGAAGAGCCTCCATTAGATTATGGTGATAATATTTTAGATGTAGAACCATTGGAAGCAATTCAAATGGAATTAGAAGAGGATGAAGATGCGCCAGTTTATGAGTGGTTATATGATCATAAACCTTTGATGGACACTAAGTTCGTGAATGGGTCAACATATCGGCGGTGGAAATTAAGTTTGCCTAAAATGTCCACTTTATATCGTTTAGCACACCAATTGTTGTCAGACTTGACAGATCAAAATTATTTCTATTTATTTGATTTAAAGTCATTTTTCACTGCTAAAGCATTAAATTTGGCGATTCCTGCTGGACCAAAGTTTGAGCCATTGTATAGAGATATGGATGCGGCTGATGATGATTGGAATGAGTTTAATGATATAAATAAGATTATTATTAGGCAACCCATTCGTACAGAATATAAAATAGCTTTCCCTTTCCTATATAATTCTTTGCCACGTTCCGTCCAAGTATCATGGTATCACGAACCTTCGGTCGTTTATATTCGTGCTGAGGATCCTGATTTACCTGCATTTTATTTTGATCCTATCATAAATCCTATTTCATCGCGCAATGTTGCTGCTGCACAAGACCTTCGAAATTTACATGAAGACGAAATATTTGGTGAAAAAGATATAGATACAGAATTTTCACTTCCAAGCAGAATTGTACCATTTTTAGAAGATCGACCATTATATACAGACACGACAGCTGACGGAATTGCATTATGGTGGGCACCTTATCCTTTTAATAAGCGTAGCGGTCGAATGAGACGAGCTGAAGATATACCTTTAGTAAAGAATTGGTATCTTGAACATTGTCCTCCTGGACAGCCTGTGAAAGTTCGTGTCTCTTATCAAAAGCTCATAAAGTGTTATGTTTTAAATGCTTTGAAACATCGCTCTCCGAAATCCTTGAACAAGAAATACTTGTTCCGTCAACTTAAATCTACAAAATTCTTCCAAACTACTGAACTGGATTGGGTTGAGGCTGGATTACAAGTTTGTCGTCAAGGGTACAATATGCTTAACCTTTTGATCCATCGTAAGAATCTCAATTACTTGCATTTGGATTACAATTTCAACTTAAAACCCGTGAAAACACTTACCACAAAAGAACGTAAAAAGTCTCGATTTGGAAATGCCTTCCATTTATGGTAATTTTGCCTTTTTTTAATATCTTATATCTGATGCAGTATGAAGTAGAAATATGCTAATCTAATTTTTATAAAATATTAGTCGAGAAATTTTACGGTTGACCAAGTTGGTCGTTGATTCACACGTACAATATCGCTTGGGTAATGTAGATGCATTCCAGTTAGCTGATGGTTTACAATATATATTTGCACATGTCGGTCAACTCACTGGAATGTACAGATACAAATACCGTTTAATGAGACAAATTAGATTGTGTTTCAGGTAAAGAAAACCGGAAAAAAAAATTTCCCTTAACGTATATTTCGTTTCCGTAATTGATTTTATTTTATTTTTAAATTTTAAATTATCAGCGGGGACACCAAAATTATGATGCCAAACGGAACTTTTAAAGAAGCAAAGGATATAGCTGTTGGAGATCAAGTATTGGGTGATGACGGTGAACCTCGTCGCGTAATTTCACGTACTCGAGGTCATGGAATTATGTATCGCATAAATCTCTCTAAGATAAAAGGTGATGGATTCGTTTGTAACGGACAACATATTCTCGTGCTTAAGTCCAAATTCCATCCTACGATCGAAGTAGACGAAAAAGGACAATCGATTACTGTTGTTTATATGTCATTCGATACATATGACAGAGATCTTAGTTTAAAACTTCCGACTATTTCTTCTAAAAGCTTTTCTTGGAATCTTAACGTTTATGACAGTTATGAGGCAGCGAAGAAAGCGGCTTCTAAACGTTTAGAAGAACTAATTGTGCTTGGTTATAAAGGTCAGCTCTGTTCAGGATTTAATCGATGGACAATACAATTAAGTTATGAATCACCATATACCAAACCTTTGGAATATGATGGACTTAATTTTTACTGGAAACAACCAAAAAATAAAAGAATTTATAAACACGAGGACGCTATAGTTCGAGCAAATAATTTTGTAGAGAAACAAAATGAATTCATTAGGAATTTTGTTTGGGAAGTTTCCGTTGAGAATTACCTACGATTCCATAAGAAATATCCATATGTTGCCGAGTATATTAGAATGTACCGTTGTTCTGTTCTAAAATTCCCTGAATCAAGTACTTTAAATATTAAATCCTTGATTCAAGATTCATTTAAAGAAGCTGGTGTTTACAATAATTACCTTGATGAGGGTGAACTTGCTTGGCTTTTAGGTGCATGGCTCGGCAATGGCGATGCATTAAGACCAATAATTTATCTTCATTCTGAGAATTCTCGTAACGTGTTAATTAAATTAAGAGAGATTTCTGAAAAATTACAACTAAACCTTGTAATTGTGGACAAGCCAGATGAATGTTACAAAGGAATTCTTCTTTCCACAACTTCAGAATCAATTATTAAGAAGTCAGTAATTAAATATGATGAGCTTGGATTTCCAATAGTGGATAATGATGAGTTAATTCTTAAATCCGGTCAAAATATATACAATATCTTTATAAATATTCTCAAACGTTTGGGAATATTTGAAAACAATAAAGTATTTGACGATAATTTGATCTGTGGCTTTACAAATCAATCGGAACATTTTCGACTTAATCTTTTGGCGGGACTTATTGATACCACCGGCTACATTAAATATCATAAACGAAATCGTTGTAGTTACGAAGTTTCTCAAGGTCTAAAGTCTCATATGCGTATCGAGCGCCTTGTTCGCCATGTGTCACTTTCCTTAGGGTTAAAGGTATGATATCACTCGTTATTAGTATAAATGATGATGAAATTAGAATCTTTACAAATGGTTTTTTTTTTTCGCTTTTTTCTCTAGGCAACGATTAGCACAGATGTAGAACAACTACATGGTAGTGATAAAAGAAGAATCGCAGAATCGGTTCGAATAATTATTAGTGGATCAAAAATCAATGACATTCCAGTTGTCGTTGATCATAAACGAATACCTGGAGAACAAAGGTTGATGACATATAGAAATTCTAATGGATGCATTAAATTTTCCATCGAGCGCTTAAATGAAGATGATTATTATGGCTTTGGAGTAGATGGAAATAATGAAAGAATATTACTAAATGATTTCTTGGTGTCACATAACTGTAAAGACTTGAAGCACCTTATTTGTAAGTATTCGAAAATCTTTAATTATCTTACTTTAAAAATAATTTCTAATCTTCATATTTTTTTTTTTATCATTAGATTATCGTTTTAACACGGGACCAGTAGGGAAGGGTCCAGGTTGTGGTTTTTGGGCTCCAGGATGGCGTGTTTGGCTATTTTTCATGAGGGGTATTGTTCCTTTATTAGAAAGATGGCTTGGAAATTTATTGGCACGTCATTTTGAAGGTCGTCATTCTAAGGGAATTGCCAAGACTGTAACAAAGCAACGTGTTGAATCTCATTATGACCTTGAACTTCGTGCTGCCGTTATGCATGATATCTTGGATATGATGCCGGAAGGCATCAAAGCTAATAAATCCAAGACTATTTTACAGCATCTTAGTGAGGCTTGGAGATGTTGGAAAGCAAACGTTCCTTGGCATATTATGGGAATGCCTAAACCGATCGAAAATATGATCCTTAGATATGTTAAGAGCAAAGGTATCTACAAAATGTTTGTAATATTTTTGTTTGGTATGACTGTGACTAAATATTATGCATTATAATCCTTTTTAAATTAGCCGACTGGTGGACTAGTGTTGCGCATTATAATCGTGAAAGAATTCGAAGAGGTGCAACCGTTGACAAAACGGTAAATATCTTTCATAATTACTGACATAAAGTTTATTATTGATATATTTAAACTTTTTTAATCCTTATTATAGGTATGCAAAAAAAATCTTGGACGTTTGACGCGTTTGTGGTTGAAAGCCGAACAAGAACGTCAACATAATTATCTCAAAGATGGTCCTTATATTACTGCCGAAGAAGCCGTTGCGATTTACACGTCCACTGTCCATTGGTTAGAAAGTCGTAAATTTTCACCCATTCCTTTCCCACCACTTTCATATAAACATGACACCAAATTATTAATTTTGGCGCTCGAAAGATTGAAAGAGGCTTATAGTGTAAAAGGAAGACTTAATCAAAGTCAACGCGAAGAATTGGGATTAATCGAACAAGGTAAATTGTTCATAATAATGATAGAGAAATATTTCTAAATTATAATGCTAATTTGACTTTTCTTTATAGCTTATGACAATCCACACGAAGCACTTAGTCGAATTAAACGTTTATTGTTGACCCAGCGGGCATTTAAAGAAGTTGGAATCGAATTTATGGATCTTTATAGCCACTTGATTCCAGTATTTGACGTTGAACCTCTTGAAAAGATTACTGATGCGTATCTTGATCAATATCTTTGGTACGAGGGAACAAAGAGAAATTTATTTCCTGCATGGATTAAACCTTCTGACACTGAACCACCACCATTGCTTGTCTATAAGTAAGTTATTTATAATATATTTTTCTTGTATTTTTTGATTTTAAATCCTTTATCACAAAAATTAATTTATTGTAATTCCATTAGATTCTGTCAAGGAATTAACAATTTGACAGATGTATGGGATACATCTGAAGGACAAATCAATGTCATGTTGGAAACTCAATTTAGTAAAGTCTATGAAAAGATAGATTTGACTTTATTAAACAGATTATTAAGATTAATCCTGGATCACAATCTCGCCGATTACATGACAGCGAAGAATAACGTAGTTCTAAACTACAAAGACATGAATCATGTTAATGCATATGGCTTAATTCGTGGTTTGCAATTCGCAAGTTTCATATTCCAATATTATGGCCTCATTCTTGACTTGTTAGTTCTTGGATTACAACGAGCATCTGAAATGGCAGGGCCAGCCTCGATGCCTAATGACTTTCTTCAATTCCGTGATGTTGTAACCGAAACTAGACATCCGATAAGATTGTACTGTCGTTATATCGATAAAGTTCATATATTTTTCCGATTTAATGCTGAAGAAGCTAGAGACCTTATTCAACGTTATTTAACAGAACATCCTGATCCAAATTCGGAAAATATAGTTGGGTATAATAATAAGAAATGTTGGCCACGAGATTGTAGGATGAGACTTTTCAAGAGTGATGTTAATGCTGGAAGAGCAGTATTTTGGGATATTAAGAATAGATTACCTCGTTCATTAACCACAATCGAATGGGAGGACACTTTTTGTAGTGTTTATTCGAAGGATAATCCAAACGTTTTGTTTTCAATGTGTGGTTTTGAAGTAAGAATACTTCCAAAGATTCGAAATCTTAACGAAGAATTTACACTTAAGGATGGTGTTTGGAATTTGATTAACGAACAAACAAAAGAAAGAACTGCACAAGCTTTCCTTCGCGTTGATGAAGAATCAATGCAAAAGTTTCATAATCGTGTCCGACAAATTTTAATGGCTAGCGGCAGTACCACATTCAGTAAAATCAGTAACAAGTGGAACACCTGCTTAATTGGTTTGATGTCTTACTATAGAGAAGCAGTTGTACATACTCGTGAACTGTTGGATATTATTGTGAAAGCGGAAAATAAGATTCAAACCAGAATTAAGATAGGTCTTAACAGTAAAATGCCTAGTCGTTTCCCTGTGCACGTGTTTTATTGTCCCAAAGAATTGGTAATTATAATTTCTATCTTTCTTTTTGACATATAATTTCATCATTTATTAATTACTTTCGTATTTTACTTTTAGGGTGGCCTTGGTATGTTGTCGATGGGTCATGTGGTACTTATCATTTCTTATTGCCTTCGTATTTGCAATTCAAAATTTTATGTTCACGTTATAATTGTATTTTAGCTTATTCCTCAATCTGATTTACGCTGGAGTAAACAAACAGAAACGCAGATTACACACTTTCGCGCCGGGATGTCACATGTAGGAAGCATTTCATTTTCTCCTTACTGTCTATTTTTTTAAAAAGCAAATTTTAATGTTCTATAACATTTTTGTTTATTATTTATAAACAGGAGGAAGATCAATTGATTCCTAATTTATTCCGATATCTTCAACCATGGGAGTCCGAATTCATTGATTCTCAACGTGTATGGGCGGAATATGCACTCAAGCGTCAAGAAGCTAATGCTCAAAATAGACGATTAACACTTGAAGATCTTGAAGATTCTTGGGATAGAGGGTTACCTAGAATTAATACTTTGTTCTCAAAAGATCGACATACTCTTGCTTACGATAAAGGATGGCGGGTCAGAAATGATTTTAAACAATATCAAGTACTAAAGAATAATCCATTCCATTGGACCAGTTCGCGTCATGACGGAAAGCTTTGGTCTCTCAACAATTATCGAACTGATGTCATTCAAGCACTTGGAGGCGTTGAAGGCATTCTAGAGCACACTCTTTTCAAAGGAACTTATTTTACCACATGGGAAGGCAAGTTATATTTTATATCATTAATTTAAAGTAGATTATTTTTTTTAGCTTATTAACGTTTTATTTTAAAATTTTAGGTCTCTTCTGGGAGAAAGGTAAACAAAGTTGCATTAAAAATACTATTATTTTCGGACTTTTTCCATTTTCTCACGTGACATTATTACCTTGATAGCATCCGGATTTGAGGAATCTATGAAATATAAGAAATTAACAAATGCTCAAAGATCCGGCCTTAATCAAATTCCGAACAGAAGGTTTACCTTGTGGTGGTCTCCAACTATTAATCGTGCCAATGTATATGTTGGTTTCCAAGTACAACTTGATCTCACGGGTATCTTTATGCATGGAAAAATTCCCACATTGAAAATTTCACTTATTCAAATATTCCGGTATATATTCTTTTTTATGATGTTTTTCATATAATAATTCATTTACTAATTGGTTTAAAAATTAATGTAAAATAGGGCTCATTTATGGCAAAAAGTTAGTGTTAAAAGCTAGTAATTTTTATTTTATTTTATTTTCTAAATATGTTTGAACTAACTTTTACTTTCGTTTAATATTAGATACACGAATCGATAGTAATGGGTAAATAATCTTGCATAGTTTGAATTTCTGTTTTGAATCTTTATTCAAGAATTGATACTAATGTACTTTTTCTTGATTTTTTTTTTTTTTTTTTGTACATTCTAATATCAATAGATCTTTGTCAAGTTCGTATTTTAAAATTTTTTTATACTTGCATCTATTTTTACATTTATTAAATTTATTATTTTTATAATAATTTTACTATAGGTATTCGATTCGGAGCTTGAAAGTTTACAGATCGAAACAGTTCAAAAGGAGAGTATTCATCCGAGAAAATCATACAAGATGAATTCCTCGTGTGCAGACATATTACTTTTCGCTGCATACAAGTGGAATGTGTCCAAACCATCATTATTGAATGATAATAAAGACACCATGGACGGTACTACAACTTCGCGTTGGTTTGTCGATGTACAACTTAGATTTGGTGATTTTGATTCTCATGACGTTAAGTATTGTTCTCTATGCAGACAAAGTCTAACTTGTTTAAGCTTGTTAAAAAAACTAAATATCTAAATCTTATTTCATTTCAATAGATTGAAAGATATACCAGAGCAAAATTCTTAGATTATTCTACAGATAATATGAGTATTTATCCATCGCCATTTGGCATTATGATTGGTATAGATCTCGCGTATAATTTACATAGTGCGTATGGTCATTGGATTCCTGGAATGAAACCATTAATACAATCAGCAATGGCTAAGATTATGAAGGCAAATCCTGCGTTATACGTTTTGCGTGAACGTATCCGTAAAGGTTTACAATTATATTCCTCGGAGCCAACTGAACCTTACTTATCATCACAAAATTATTCTGAATTGTTTAGCAATCAGATTATTTGGTTCGTTGATGACACCAATGTATATCGTGTAACCATTCACAAGACATTTGAAGGCAATTTGACCACGAAACCAATAAACGGAGCTATTTTCATTTTTAATCCAAGAACTGGACAATTGTTCTTGAAGATTATTCACACTTCGGTTTGGGCGGGTCAGAAACGTTTGGGTCAATTGGCCAAGTGGAAAACTGCAGAAGAAGTAGCTGCTTTAATTAGGTCATTGCCAATTGAAGAACAGCCTAAACAAATTATTGTTACACGAAAGGGCATGTTGGATCCTCTTGAAGTGCATTTACTTGATTTCCCAAATATTGTTATCAAAGGAAGTGAGTTACAACTCCCATTCCAGGCTTGTCTTAAATTAGAAAAGTTTGGTGATTTGATTCTCAAGGCTACTGAGCCTCAAATGGTAAGTAGTCATGTATTATGTATCATACCCGTTCCTATCACTTTAATTGTATATTAACTTCGTAATTATCATTATAGACTCTGTTTAATTTGTTCGACGATTGGCTTAAAACGATTTCTTCGTACACTGCATTCTCGCGTCTTATTCTTATTTTACGTGCTTTACATGTGAATACGGATAAAACAAAGATGATTTTACGTCCCGATAAAAATACCATTACTGAACCTCATCATATTTGGCCAACGTTGTCTGATGAAGAATGGATTAAAGTTGAAGTTGCTTTGAAAGATTTGATTTTGGCAGATTATGGAAAAAAGAATAATGTAAATGTAGCATCTCTTACACAATCGGAAATTCGTGATATTATCCTTGGTATGGAAATTTCCGCACCATCTTTGCAACGGCAACAAATTGCAGAGATTGAAAAACAAACCAAGGAACAGTCTCAACTTACGGCCGTCACTACAAAAACGCAAAATGTACACGGTGATGAGATGATTGTCACAACAACTAGTAATTATGAGACACAAACATTTTCTTCAAAGACGGAATGGCGTGTTCGCGCCATATCTTCAACAAATTTACACCTTCGTACCAATCATATTTACGTCAACGCGGAGGATATTAAGGATACCGGATATACTTATGTTTTACCAAAGAACGTATTGAAACGATTCATTCAAGTTGCCGACCTCCGAACCCAAATTGCTGCATTTCTTTATGGAGTATCACCTCGTGATAATGCTCAAGTTAAAGAAATTAAGAGTTTGGTTATAATTCCACAATATGGTACGCATCAATCAGTAAATTTACCATATGCGTTACCGGATCACGAATATCTCAAAGATCTTGAACCTCTTGGTCTTATTGTGACTCAACCATTTGAGACTGCACAATTGTCTCCGACAATTCTATCGCTTCATGCAAGAATTGTAGCAGACAATAGGAATTGGGATGCAGACAAAACAATTTCGATGACGGTCTCATTCACACCTGGATCTTGCTCGTTGACGGCATATAAATTGACACCTGCTGGTTTCGAATGGGCTCGTAATAATAAGGACACGTCTGTTAATCCACCAGGTATTATCTTTTCTTAAATTTATAATTCGTCGCCTTTATCTTAATTAATACTAATGTAATTCAAATTCCATAGGTTATCTTCCAACATTTGCTGAAAAAGTACAAATGTTGTTATCTGATCGATTCATGGGATTCTTTATGGTTCCGGAAAATGATATTTGGAATTATTCATTTATGGGACCTAGTCACAGCGCATCTATGAAATATACCCTCAAGTTGGATGTACCGAAAGAATTTTATCACGAATTACACAGGTAACGGTCATTTTTACATATTGTTTCTTTACTATTTATATGATTTCATTATTTTAACATATTTTTAATTATATTATTCAGGCCGCAACATTTTCTTAACTTTAGTTCAATGGAGGAAGATGTCGAAGCTGATCGAGAAGACGCATTTGCTTAGATTATAATGTATCAATCAATAATATAACATTTGTATTTTTATTTGATTTTTAAAATGAAGTAAAAGAAGTTATTATACTGGGCAATATATTATTAATAACTATATAATTTCATCGTTTTAAAGAAAATGCCAAAGTCACAATCGCGATGATTATTATATATATCTATATTTGTTACTATTATATCAAAAGAATTTATGGCATTAAAACTCTAACATCAATTATTTATATAACCAATTTAATAAATTCTCAAAATTTTTGTTATACATCTAAAAAAAAAAAAAGGAATAAAAAAAAACTTTGTTAGTAGATCATTTATATCCGCAATTGATTTGTAAGCGGTCGCTAAATCTTTGACGTTCCACTGTAATTCATCAATAATCATCCAGATAATAACCGATACAGACATTTTGTTAGACATCAAAACGAATGGAATTTAGGAAATCACATACTATTTGCAGTGCGTGTGATATATTTTAATTAGGATGAGATCATCCTTATAATGATAACATTAATATTAAAATAATTAATAGTATTTTTTATTATTATTATTATTTATTATATTTTACATTTTTAGCTCTACATTCGTTTTTAAAATTATATAAATAATAATGCCATATTTTTTTTTTTTTTTTTTTATTATTATAGATAAAGTTCTGATAAATTTGCAAATTCTCTCGCCTTTCTCCTCCCTACTTCAGACATTCGTTCACCAGATATTAAACAACTATGTAAAGTTGCTTTTTTTGCAACTCTCATTTCTTTAACGTAATCAATTACAGTTCCAACATGATCATCTGTTATATGAGAAGAATGTAAATCCAATCGTTTTATTGATCTACATTCTTTTAATAACATTTTAAAATATTCGGGAGAGATAATCCATTGTCCTCTCAAATTTAATGATGATAAAGTACTTGGCCACGATTGATTCGTTTTTGTGAGGAAAGGTTCAATATTTAAATCTCCATAGCAAATTAAGGTTAGATTTTCCAAACTTTCATTAATTTGTAAGAATTCCAGGAATTCATCAATATCACCTTCACCCATTTGCACTTTTAAATCTTTAATATTTCTACATAATCTAAGGGATTTTACTAATTTATGAGAAGATATGGTACAATTTCCCGTCCTTGGTAAAATGATTTGTTCTAAATTATCATGACAATTATTAACTAAAGCGGCTACGTCATCGGGACATACCCAATATCGAGGAGATTCTATACAATTATTATAAAATCCGAGATATTTTAAATTTGAAAATTTCGCATTAATGAAGGTATTCATTTTATCACCAATATATATACAATGAATGAATTGTAAATATTTTAAATTTTCAAAAGCTGTCAAAGCTTTCATTGTATTACAATGATGAAAATTACAATATTCGAATTGAATCATCGTTAAGGATTTTGCTTGAGATTGAAGCGCGCAAAGTGTGTCCGATAATACGATTTGATATTTCGTTTGATAATCCCAAGTATATTTAAATGATTTTAATTTTTTTTGAGCTCTTATTAAAACCCCTAAGGCTTTCACTTCCATATCATGATCAACCCCTCCAACTTCTAAAGTTTCAATAAATTCTGATACTTGAGAAATCGCTCTAAAAATCTCACTCTTATTATTGTGTTTACTAACGCATTGAAAACTTTTTAAGCGAGAAAAACAATTAACCGATCCAGTTAAAAGTGGTAATAAGGGCATGGCCGTCTCATAAGGTATATCCGATAATGAAAGTAATTCAAAAGTTGAACATTGGTTCATAAATAATTTAAATAATTGTTCCGTGATTAAAATTTTTAAAAAGGTGGTTTGTTGTTCATCTGCAAGATTTCCAATGACATTAGAAAACCAATCAGAAATCCCATTATAAATATCCGAAAATTTCAATTCTCTCAAGAATGATGGATAATCAAATATTGGTGAATGGATGTCTTCTAATATGCTAGTTGGTAAGATGACCCCATTATTACAGAGGTATTGTTTGGATTTTTTATTAAGGCATTTTAGGTAAACTTGTATTATTTTCGTCGACTCAATCGATAAGCTATTTGAAAGTTTGAAGGGACTTTTCCATAAAATGGGGACCGCGATTTTACACCAACTTCTATTGACCAAGAGACATGAATAAATTGACTCTTTCGTTTCAAGGTATTCAAAAATTTCTCGTAAACATTCTGGTGGTAAATTTGTTATTGTGGTTCTATTGAAAAAAAAGTATCGTTCGAAAACGACCGATGGTATCGGTGGTGATTGTGATGGTTTTAAACAAGTAAGAGCTGATCCCATAATTTTTTTTTATTTTTTTTTATTTTAATTAAATTTTTTTTTTTTAGGAAAAGAAGGGAATGGAAAAAAAGGTAAGGAAAGAAAATTTTTTTTTTGGGAAACGTCTTTCATCCCATTTTCATCAAAAATTATGCGGTGATTATCCAATTATTTGTTGTAATCATTCATTAATTTATTTTTGGTTTTCCGTCAGTTTCCATCTTAACCAACCAATCAAATTTCCACAAGAAAAAAATAAAAATGAGAAAACTTTTTAAATAATAAAACCCGCGTTTTCAATTGTTTTATTTATTTATTATTTTTATTCTTTATTTAAATTTATTTTTTTTTTATTTTTTTTTTTTTTTTTTTAAAAAAAAACTATTTTTTATTTAAAAATAAAATAAAATAAAATGCCCGTTGCTCACTCAGAGTCCACAAAGCCACAACGGGAACTTAATGAACCTATTAAACAAGAGAAGGAAATTGATCATACACAAACCGAAGGGCAAAATACAATAACACCAACGGTTCCACTTTTTACTTTATGGGATTACCTCAAAGATGAATTAACGACCTCCGACGTTGATACCTTACAAGAACTTAAAAGGGAAAGGGTGACCAATTTTCTTGGTATTCCGTGGTCGATTGAAAAACTCATGATTTTTGGATTTTTCATTTGTTTTGATTCTTTTTTATACACCATTACTATCCTTCCATTACGTGTAATATTCGCTTTTTATTCATTGATCATGAACATTATATCATTTTTTAATAATGACAGACATCATGAACGAAAGCACTATGAAATATTAAATTTATCACAAAAGTGTGATTTACTCAAAGGTCTACTCATAATTTTAGTTTGTTTAGCACTTCAAAATGTGGAAGCATCACAAATATATCATATAATCCGTGGACAATCCGCCATTAAATTATATGTTATCTTTAACGTCCTTGAAATTTTAGATCGACTTTGTTGTTCTTTTGGTGGGGACATCCTTGATTCCTTGTTTTCAAGATCAACACTTGGGAATAGAAAAGAGGATTCAAAGATTCATCCAAATTGGAGACCAGTTAATTTTTTCATTTTGGCATTAATTTATATCCTTATCCATTCGATAATCTTATTTTATCAAGCCATTACCCTTAACGTGGCGATCAATTCTTATTCAAATGCTTTATTGACTTTATTATTATCAAATCAATTCATTGAAATTAAAGGTTCGGTGTTTAAAAGATTTGAAAAGGAAAATTTATTTCAATTAAGTTGTGCTGATATAGTTGAACGATTTCAATTGGTCATATTTTTATCAGTTATCACCGCTCGAAATTTGATTGAATTATCAGGTTCCCCACCTTCACCATTTTCCATTTTACCCACATCATTCATTCCTTTATTCCCAGCAATGACAACTGTTGAGACTTTAATGACTCCAGTATTATTCGTGTTAATGTCTGAATTGTTGGTTGATTGGTTAAAACATGCATTTATAACAAAGTTTAATCATATTCGAACAAGTGTCTATGATCGATACATTGATATGTTATCAAGGGATCTCATAATTGGAAATCCAACGAGATATCTAAATCATAATAATCATGTTAAATCACAAAAGTTCGTAGATCAATCACCGATAGTCTCTCGTCGGATTGGATTCGCCGCTTTACCTTTGACTTGTTTTACGATAAGTGTAACTTTACAAACCGTTACAATGATTTACGATTGGGTACATGAATTGGAAGATAATTCAAACAATATGCCAATTTCTAATGTGGCTACACAACCTCCTATCGTATGGATATTATGTGGAACTTTATTTTACGTTATGTTGATATTATTAAAATTATTTGTCGGAATAAATCTTCTTGGATTTGCTCATAGAAGATATGCTAGTATGGAAATGCGTGAAGCTGAAGAGAGCGCGCAAGCTAAGAAACTCGAAGATCATGTTGTAGCGGAAAAGGAAGAAAAAGATGCTAAAAGTCGAATTCTTAATAATTCAAATGACAATATAAAAAAACCTGAGGTAACGTTAGATAATATTGATCGATATACGTTATTTAAAAGTCGTATTCCTTGACATTTTTTTTTTGTTGGTTGATGATAAATGAGAATGAAAAACAAATGGCAAAGAAATTGTGAATTCTAGATATTTTCTTGAAATACTTTTTTTTGTAAAAACATAAATTGCATAATTAGTTGAATTTTTTGTAGTTATAATAATTTTTTGTTTCCTTTTACCAAGATCACAAATAATAATATCGCAAGCACTTTTAATATTTAATAATAATAATCAAGCATCTAAATTTAAGCTTAATAGAACTTGTTCAATTTTTTCCAAGACTAAATTATATTCAGCTTCCCAATCAGTTATTTCTTCACCGTCATATTCCCGTACTTTACCACTCCTTTGATCAATTTCATCCTCAAGCACACTATATTTTTTAGATAACCAATATCTTAAATCATCGATGAAAGGAATCGTATCAGTCTCTTGTCTTTTTTTAATAGAATGAGCGGATTCACAAATTAAATCTAGAAATCTTTGATCTTCTAAAACTTCATAAAGATGATCGGCAAACCAATGACAACACCATTGTTCTAATCTACCAATATTTAAATCGATAGCCGTACGCATAAGTACGTAAATATCTTCAAGTGGTTCGGATAGATTTGTTAATATGATAGACGCGATTGATTTGAGCTTATCCAGTAAGTACATATCAGCCTTTATTAATACTTCACATGCCATTGATTCCGGTATATCACATTTGTCTGTATATATGAATTCAAGAATTAAAGCAAATACTTTGGAAGAACATTCTGAAATTCTAGGTGTTCGCAATAATTTTTCAGAAAAAGGTCCATTAAACATGGCTTTAAAGTACTCGCAACGTTCAGTGAGGAAAACCTTGTGACAATTAAAGAATTCATCTTCCACTCTAATACAAATATCATGTTGAGATTCTGCGAATTTCGGTTCTGTATCGTTATGTCCAATTCTATTTTCAATAATTTCTGAGCCATCCACCTTCATATTATTGTTATAATCTTGTTCAGTGTAAAATTGTTTGCCTACAAGTAGAACATTCTTAAAAAATTTAACAAAGTCGTTTTGAAGTTTCTTAAATTCTATCTTATCCTGATCCTGATTAATTCTTTTCATTTTATTCGTATATCGTTCAGATAAATTATCTAGCCAGACATATTTACACAGTTGTATCATGTTATCCATTAAGGAATTTGGGATCGATGCAATTTCTCCGGTATAAAGATATCTCAACATTGCACGAAAACATGTTGCATGAATTTGTATCTCTTGAATTTCAATCACTTTAGATGTACACCAAATCGTCTGAAATTTGCTTGCAAAGAATGTTGATCGAGCGTTTAGTATACATCTATGAGCTGAAATTTCTAAAGTTTCCAAAGTATTATAACGTTTTGACCGGTCGTATGGGGCATTTAATTTAAAAATAACATCACTAAAGGTGTCAAGAGGACGTTCTAATATGTAGGAAAAGAAATTGCGATAGGGCTGATATTTGTCATCTGCTTTAGTGTACTTATAACTTGACAAAAGTCCCCGTATTTTCATTGTCAATGCTCCATAATAACAGCTAAAAAAAAAAATAAAGTGTCAGCAAATCGGGATCATGAAAAATCAAATCTATACTTAACATTGTATATTTTACCGTTGTCCTTCAAAGGTATCCTTTCTACATTGAGCTCCATTCTCAAGTAAGAACTTTACAACTAAAAATTTCAAAATAATGTCAATTCAATTCACAAAACAAAAAAAAAAAAAGTTCATTAAAAATTATGACTTGCCTCCGTAATGTCCACTTTTTTATATTTTTTTTTTTAAAAAAATGAAATGAGAACTTTTTGGTTTTTAAGATATTAACTATCTAAATTATAAATATGCTTACCATAAACATGCAAGATATAAAGGGGAACATTGCCATTTATCGGTTTGATTAATTGGTGCTCCAAAATTTCGAACCAAGCTAATACAATTCAAAAGTAAGTGGTTAATTCAAAAGGTACAGCAATAACCTCGAATGAGGAATCAAAAAAATGCTAACCTTTCAACTAGCTCTAAATCACCATTACGACAAGCATTAAGTAAATCTTGAAAAATTTTATCTTCGTCTGCTAATTTCATTATATCAATTTCTAATGTCGATTATAAAATTAAAAAAAAAAAAATTAATAGACGCGGTTTAACAAACATTCTGTGATATGTAACACCGATTTTCGATGCAATAATCTATGTTGGTACACTACAAGTTAAATTAAAATAAGTATAATAGATTTTTAAATATCTACCATAAAGGTCTACGTAAATTAAGGCTTAAATATAAAGAGTATATGGACATAACTCTATGCGTGAAAATGAATGCTTTCACTATGATAAAAATGGTCTTTTCTATTCCTATGATCAATAAAGAAAATTTAGCATTAATAGCTATACAAGTTTCTCAAGACTTCTTATGGATCACTACTTGAATAATTTCAAAATCCCATTCAGTAAAGCAGTTGAGCCTTGGGATAAAGTTTTTATTTTATAATATCAATTTTTCTTTTTTTTGTATTATAGATTCTAATATCAAGAAAATTTCGCTGAAAAATTCTTCAACAATGATGAAACTTTTATTTAAACCAAGAAATGTAATCCTTTCTATCAAATATTTTGATAAGAAAAAAAAGTAAAGAACTTTGCCAGCCAAATGAAAGAATTTACGGAATCCAACATTTTGCTCTCTCCTAATATTGAATATAAATACTGAAATATTTGACACCCAAGTTACAAAATGCCTTTAGAAATATGAGTCATTATGCTATTAAATTGAGTTTTCTCTAATTAGTATCGATTTTTGCAACGGATTTTTTATATTCTCATTTTAAATAATGACTGAATAAAATTATAAAATCGATTCTCTTTCTAAGCGGGTATTTTCTCATTATAGATGTTCTGATGTACAGTATTTCATAATTGGGATTGTACATATTCGCAACTGCTATGTATATTATTTATTTATTAATAATTCGTGTAATACACCTTTCAAAGTAAAACTTTTATTATTCCCAGATCTCATATTGTTCAGTTTCATTTTCAAGTATTTAATTTTTATTATATTTAATTTATATATATATATATATCATAAATATATTCAGTTTAATATCTAATATCGTAAAAGATTTTTGGTCTACTTATAAATTACGCGTTACAATTTACATTTGAATCAGTCTTCACATTTCTCAAATTCAACCCAAATCATCTCTAATTAAAAGCTTACAATTAACAATATTCAGTGTGTTAAACTAATATATTATATAAAACAATTGAATTATATGTATGTATTTTAATAATGATTTCCGAAACCGTTTCCTAGTAATAGTATAATATAAAGAAATAATAAAATAAAAAAGAGAGAGCGTAGACACAAGGGACAGAAAAATCAATACGGACAAGCCGTAGCCCCAAGGCCAGATAAACAATACGCCAGTTCTCAAATAAAAAGTTAGTGAAAAATCAGAACTAAGATAAGGGAAATTAAATTTAATACTTTTCTGCTTAAGTAAATTTTCTAAGGCCCGCCATGATACATGAATCTGTATATAAGATGATTAAAGGAAAAAAAAAAGAGAGAGAGCGTAGACACAAGGGACAGAAAATCAATACGGACAAGCCGTAGCCCCAAGGCCAGATAAACAATACGCCAGTTCTCAAATAAAAAGTTAGTGAAAA